GACTATTATACTGATGAAATGAAAAATGGTCAGTATCTATGGAGGGTGATTTGCTAATCTTCATCAAGAGTAAAGGTGCATTCTTTAACCCAGCAATTCCACTTCTGACCATTCATCTTAGAGGCATTCCAGCATATGTGAAGTGTTATATATACAAGATTATTAATTGCAATATGGTTTGTGATAAACAATAGAAAATAGTCTAAAGGGACTGATTAAATAAGTAATATGTCTACAGTGAGATTTTCTGCAACTTTTTGAAAAACACATTCATTACAAAAATTTTCTTGTGTCCCTCTGTACAAGGTTTCTCCCACCATTCCCTTTCCACATTCCTAAGCAATCACTGATCTTCTTTTTGTTGCTAGATATTATTTTGCTTCTTAAAAAGAATGTTGGGCTGGGGATGTGGCTCAATTRGTAACACGCTCGCCTGGCATGCACGGGCCACATAAAAATAAAAAAAATAAATAAAGATGTTGTGTTCACCAAAAACTAAAAAATAAATATTAAAAAATTCTCTCTTTCTCTCTTTAAAAAATAAAATAAAATAGATAAAAAGAATGTTATAGACCTGTGCATATAATTCAGCACATGTGAGACCATGGTTCAATTCCCAACACTGGAAAAAAAATGTTATATAACATATATACTTTTTGGCTATTTTCATTCAGCATAATTATCTTGAGTTTCATCAACTGTATAGCATGTATCACTAGTTAATTCCTTTTTTGCTACTGGGTAGTATAAGAATTAACTAGTGATAAATGTGTGGCTATATTATACTACAGTTTGTATATCTGCTAATTTATGGATGGACACTTAAGCTGTTGTCAGTTTTTGGCTGCTACAAATAAAGCTATTATGGACATCTATGAACAATTATTTGTATAGGTATAACCTTTTATTTTTCTTGGGTAAATAAAAGTAGAAGAGGTTGGTCATATGGTATGTTTTATTTTCTAAGAAATTGTCAGTCTATTTTCCAAAGTGATTATTTCATTTTATATTTCCACCAGCAGTGTATGAAGGCTCCAGTTTTTCTGTGTCTTTGTTAATACTCATTATTGTCTATTTGAAGAACTTCCTTTAGCATTTCTCATAGTGCAGATTTGCTGAACATATAGTAGTTCAACTTTTGCATGCCTAAAAATATCTTTATTTCATATTTAATTTTTTTAAAAAATATTTATTTATTTATTTATTTATTTCGGCGGACACAACATCTTTGTTTGTATGTGGTGCTGAGGATCGAACCTGGGCCGCATGCATGCCAGGCGAGCATGCTACCGCTTGAGCCACATCCCCAGCCCTCATATTTAATTTTGAAAGGTATTTTCACCGAACATAGACGTTCAGGTTGATGAAGTTTTCTCTCATTGAAACTTTTGTTCCACTGTTTTTTACCTTACAGATTTTGCAACAAAGAAGTCTGCTTTAATCTTTAATGTTACTTCTTTGTACATAATTTGTCTTCTCACCACTACTCCTATGACTGTTTTCAAGATTTTCCTCTTTATCACTGGTTTTAGGTAATCTGATTATGATGTACCTTGGTATAGTTTTCTTTATTTTTCTTGCATTTGGAGCTCATGAGCTTCTTGATTCTATAGGTGTGTGTTTGTTTTCAAACTTGAAAAATATTCCCTCATTATTTCTTCAAAGAATTGTATCTGTTTCCCTACTCCTCTCTCCATTTACACACATATTAGGCTGCTTGTAATAATCTCACAGTTCAGTTCTTTTATTTTTCCCCACTCTTTTTTCTCCCTGTGTTTATTTTGGATCATTTCTATTACTAGGTCTTCATAGTAATACCTTTCCCTTTGCAGGATCTGATTTGCCTTTTATCCTATCTAGTATATTTTTCATGTTAGACCCTATAGTTTTCATACTTATATATTTGTTTTGAGAGATATGTATATCATGTCTCTACTTGTTCAATCTTTTCTCTAGGTTTTTGAGTATATGGAATATAATTATCATAAAACTTTTAATGTCCTTTTCTACTAGTTCTATTATGGGCTCAATTGGTTGATTTTTCTTCTTATTATAAGTCATATTTTCTTTTTTTGCCTGCACAGTAGTTTTTGAGATGGGTGCCAGACATGAATTTACTTTGTTTGGTGCTGGATTTTTTAATAGTTCTAAAAGTATTCCTGAGCTTAGTTCTGGAATATGGTCAACTTAATTCTTTCAGGATTTGCTTGTCAACTTTGTTAGGTGAGACCAGAGAATGTTTTGTCTAAGGCTAGTTTTACCCCATTCCTGAGGTAGACATCTTCTTAATACCATCCCTGATATCCTGTGAATTAAATTTGATACGTGGCTAGTGATAATAAGTACTAGTCCCATCATTGTGTGATAACAAAGATTATTTTTCTAATCTTTTTATGTAGTTTTTTTCCTCAGCATCAGACATTTTTCTCATATTCATGTACATATCAGTATTCAGCTAAAGACTTAGAAGGGACCTAGTGCAGATATGTAGGATTCTCCCTCTGTACATGATTTACTGCTCCGATACTCCTGTCAGTGCTCTGTGAACTCTAGTATCTAGGCTTTCTCATGTTCTCAGCTCTGACTTCTCAACTTGGAGTCTTCTTCACTGTATCTAGGTTTCTCTCCTTCCTGAGATGTGTTTTGGAAACTCTTCAAAACTAAACTAGAATAACAGCTTATTTCCTGTCTCTCAGGGTTCACTGTTCTTTATTACCTGAATCCAGTATTTTGAAAACCATTGTTTCATATATTCTTTCCAGTCCTTTAGTTGTTTCAAGTATTAGGAAATATTCTGTCTTGGCTGAAAATATAAATCTTTGCCATTCTTTAAAAAATTTTTCCTGTTCTTATTTGTTTATTTGGGGCAGTGTCTAGCTGGCCTCAAACTTGCAATCCTGCCTCAGCTTCCTGAGCTGCTGTGATTATAAGCATTTGCCATTGTACTTGACTTTATATATATATATATATATATATATATATATATATATATATATATATATTTTTTTTTTTTTTTGCTTTGAGCTCAGATTAAGTGACTTTGCTAGGGGTAGACTTCTATTGGTTATATATATATATATATAATTTTTTTTTCTTGATAAGCAAACCAAAAATTTCTGCTGTATTAACAGTAAGAAATCCCTCAGGGTCAGAAAAATGGAAGTAGAACAAAAGGACCCATGTCTGGTGCAATACTGATTGCCTAGTCACTCAGTCCTGGTAACACTGAGGAGGGACAGTAGCAGTTTATTAGTATAACCATATGGTCTCCTCCCTCAGTATTCTGCTATCAGACCTAGCTWTAAATTAGAATAGTAATTTTGAGAGCAATTTAGATAAGATTTCTTACTTCTTCCCYCCATTGCAACCCAGGTGTATTTGAATTTCAACCTCTAGGTCTATATAAGTGAAAAGGAAATCTGGGACAAGGTGTTATTTTTAAAGGTGAGCTCACCTAAGACTTTGCAACTAATGGCAATAACAAAATTGACATGATACATAAAGCCATGTTGGGATTCTAGACCCCTCCCTTTGTATAGTTTTCCAGTTGAGTTTGGCTATTCTCTGCTTCTCTTTTTTCTTTTTTTTTTTTTTCCTCTGGATAGGTCTATCTGCAGGTCAGATATCCCAAGTTATTGTTGGAGATGAGCAACGGCAATACCTCTTGGTGATTGGGCGTGATGTAGATGGTGTCCAGTTAGCTCAGCGTTTGGCTCAGGCAAATGAGATTGTCCTGTCCTGGAACTGCTGGAAGCTCTGTGAGCAGTACATGTTTGAAGTGGAAATCATGAGGGAGGATGAAGCTGTGAAGGTAGGAAGCTGGTTCTGTCCATAGCACATCCTGAAAAACTTCCCACTACATAGGGCAGTGCTCTGGTGGTGTTCACATATTATGTGAACAAACCAGTAACCACTGGAACTCAAATTTGGAGGGAGGCCAGGGATATTCTCCCACAAAAGAGATAAGGCAGAATAGTAAGGCTGGGGAGATTCAAGATAAATAAAGGAGTTAGAGTCCTCAGCCCCTCTGATCAGTGGTAATCAAGTTGGTGTATAAACACAGAATTGAGCAGTTTTCCTTTCTCTAGTTAAGAGATATGCGGATCATTAACCCATTTGATTTTGATGAGCATTTTGACAAGTGCCTTGATTATCTGCCACATTACCGTACAAGTGCTGGTAAGTTACGTGTCCTTTCTACCTAACTCTGAAATTTTAAAGATTAATTTTCCATATGGCTGGAGACATTTTGTTTTTCTTTTGTTAGACACACTAAGAACTGCCCTGGAATTGGATCCAGACTCTGCACTTGAGCAAACACTGSGGAAATACATAATGAAAAACCTTTTGAAGAAGGTTATTTCCTACTTCTTGAATCATTACACAGACTGTGTGTGTTTGTATAAATAAGTGTACATTAAATGAGATAATGTTTTAATATTGATCTAGTTCATCTCCTGTGCCCCACTCTAATCTCAGCAGACGTTATCATCTGCACCAATATAATTACTGTATGAATGTGTCTTTTAGTTGGCTTTCTCAGTCCTAGAAAGTAGAAGCTACATTTGTTCTTGTTTGTCTTTGAAGCATTTATTACACTGTAAGCAGGGTTTAGAAAACATGATTGGTAAATTTGTGTTGTTTGATTGTGTATGTATGAATATGAACATTTGATAAATACAATGATTAGCACAGTTAGGCATATCAAACTTACTCTTAGAAAATATAAAATCCTGGCAGTTTCATCAGGGAATTAGGTTTAAAGTCAAATAATTTAATTCTAAGCACACTGGTTCATACTTTTTCTGTACCTCTCAAACCTGAAGTTTTAGATCTCGCCTGGCACCCATAAGTTATTTGCTTATATTTAGCATGAAATGGATAATTACAATGCCTGAACATGTTAGAGAGTTGAAGACATAGGCAAAGTAACTCTGTGTGTCTTGTAGATTGATGAAGGCCAACCTATGGAGTATGTATCTGAATTCCGTACAGTGACTATGGTTTTGGTGAATCTTGAGTTCCATAAGACAGCGTGGATGTTGCATTTGTGTCATCTTATCCAGGAGGCTGCCTTATATATCTCTACAGTCATTGAGAAAGGTGGTGGCCAGTTAAGCCGGATCTTTATGTTTGAGAAAGTAAGTATTAAAGGTGAGTGAGAAATAATACATCTTGTATGATCTGTTTGTCACCCATGTAACACAAGTGTAAATCAGATTTCCTGCTGCTTATTTTGTAGGCCTCTATATAACATTAAAACTTCAAGTAATGTAAGTTAAGAAATGCCATGTTATAGTTAGTTTAATTTTCAGGGTTACTGAAGATTTTATTCAGTTCTTGTTGAAAAAGCCTTGTGAAAGCATTAGAAGTGCTTTACTGGATCTAATAACAAAGTAAATAATCATATTTTTCTCAACCAATTGAGCTTGAAAAAGAGCAACATCTTAATATTTGACATTATAGGCAAAGAAAATGTGGGCAGATAGTCTTAACACTAGAAATTGCATGTTTTTTTATTTGTTTGTTTGTTTGTTTTGAGACAGGATCTTGCTTTGTTGTCCAGCCTGGCCTCAAACTTGGGTTCCTTTCAATCCTTTCAAGTAGCTAGTACCCTAAACATGCACTACTGTACCTGGCTTGAATGGTTCTTTTTTTGTGGGGGGCAGAATTACTAGGGATTGAACTCCAGGGCACTCAACCAACTGAGCCACATTCCCAGCCCTTTTTTGTATTTTATTTAAAGACAGGGTCTCACTGAGTTGCTTAGGGCCTCACTAAGTTGCTGAGGCTRGCTTTGAACTCAGGATCCTCCTGCCTCAGCCTCTGAAGCTGCTGGGATTACAAGCATGTACCACTACACCCAGCTTGAATGGTTCTTGATACCACCTTTACTTATGTTTTAAATTCCTATTTTTGAAGTAGTTCATTAAATCAAGATTTTTTTTTTCTTCATGAAACGGGATAGAACCCARGACCTCATGCATGTTACACAAATGCTCATACCACTGAGCCACACCTCCAGCCAAGATTKTTTTTCCTGGTTTTGTAGCCCAGAGTACCCACTTCACAAATCATATAGAATACTCTATTCCCTGTAGCAAACCAGTAACGTAGTTGAGGCAAGTCATATTCCTTCATCAGATAAACTGTTCTTCCTCTGTCATCTATCCCAGGGCTGCATGTTCCTCTGTGTTTTCGGCCTTCCTGGAGATAAGAAGCCAGATGAATGTGCACATGCCCTGGAGAGCTCCTTCAGYATCTTCAGCTTCTGCTGGGAGAATCTTGCTGAGACCAAGTGAGGAGGAAAGTGGGGCAGAGAGGAGCTTCTCAGGCCCCAGGGGGCTCTTCAGGCAGGGTAGGAGGCAGTAACAAGTAGCAGGGGTTGAGGGTATTCAGAATCTGCCTGATGGGGAGGGAACTTGCTAAGGAAAGTCAGCAAACAAGATATTCAGAAATTATTAGATACAGAATTCTATACTGGATACCCAGGGGTGGGGAATATAGGTTTCCATTTAGTGAAGTAGGAAAGGTAGAGGAACCGAATATACATGACAGAATTCAAGAACATTAAAAAGGAATAAGCAAATAGGGAAATTTATATAGTGCAAATAACATAGCTGTATATGGAAAGGATGCAAACAAAGCTACCTATTTATAAGCGGGAAGATGAGGGAAGTTGTAGGATGATTATTACCTAGAGAGGAGGGGACCACAGCTAGTTAACACTTGTGTTTTTGGCTCTCACTCTTGGTCTTTCCCAGATCCCATTGCTTTTTCTAGACYTCACACTGAACTGAACTCCTGCCTTCATATTCACTCCCACTCCACCCACACCACCTTCTACAAAACCTAATACTAATGAAGGCATAGAAAGTGCCCCTTGTTGCATTATGACAAAGTTAGTTGGAATTTCCCAAGTGACCTTTTTTTTTTTTTCAATAGAAAGCCTTAGGAAAAGTATGAATGAATGAATTTGAAAAACAGTTGTTTCCAATGTTAATATTGAGTCAAAGATTAATTTACTTTCTCTAACTTATTCAAGATTAATAAAGCYGGGCATAGTGGTTCACACCTGTAATCCCTTTGTCTCTGGAGCTGAGGCAGGAGGATCATAGAGTTCAAAGACAACCTCAGCAACTTAGTGAGGCCCTAAGCAACTCAGTGAGACYCTGTCTCTAAATAAAATACAAAAAAGGGMTGGAGATGTGGCTCAGTGGTTGAGTGCCCCTGAGTTCAATCTSCAGTACAACCCCTCCCCMAAAAAAGAATGAATAAAAAATTTTATCACATATGTATATAGCACTTGAGCATTTATAGATTACTTAAGGTACATTATACCAGTGTGAAAATTTATATCCCTCTTTTAGACATGAAGAAACTAAGACTGTATAAGAGAATTTACTATCATATAGCAGAGCTAGAAATAAAACCCTGATCTTTGGTTTTCAAATCCTATGTTGTTTATTATTCCACAGCTGATTCTTACAATATGCAAAGGTTACCCCAAAGGATTACATATATTATTAATATAATTGTGGATACATAGAATGTTAGTAATGAAAAGGAATTTAAAAATTATTGATCTAACTYCTGATTTTACAGAAAAGAAAGATGCTATAGTTTCTTAATACATACTCAMATTCTCAGCCCAAGGCAAATATATGTTGTCACTTCTTTCAATTTGGGTGGGATCTGCAGAGACTCTCATAGCCTACCTACCACTTTTATGCAGGGCCTCCCCTTCTAGTACTGATCTTTTCGGTTCTTGAATATTACTTTGACCTGTGGCCTTCAATGGTGCTACCCTTGAGTGAGATACTCATTTCTCTGGCCTGTAGAGGCTGTCTTACAATGCCCTAAAGATACATTCTGTGACTCTTAGGCCATAACCTTGTCGTTTTGGTCTTATTTAGTTGATAATATAATAGATGTTAAGAACTAGATGGAATATTAGAGTCATCTAATCTGACCTTCTTAACCTAAGGAAACTAAGATCCAGAGAGATTATGTTGTTAAGACAAATAGTGTGACAATCTCACAACCTGAAAGCTAGATTTCAAGGTCATTATTTTTTTTTCCTTGAAGACAAATTACCAATTCAGCATTTCTCTACGTATGTTTGGTAGAACTCTAGTGCCTTATCATACTAATGGGTAGTGAAACAAGCTCTGTTTTCTTCCTAGAGATTCACAGTATACATTTATACATAAAAGGGTCTGGGTAGTCTTATGATGAAGAAAATTAATATATTTAGTTTTACTCACAATTTTCTAAATGTACTTGATCATCAAACTCTTTTCTCTAAAAGGACCTATAAATATCCAGAATGACTAGTGTTCTGGAATATATTTTGGGAAATGTCACACTAATCAAATGCTGAAGCTTCAAAAGTACTTTTGGAGCCTCAGTAACAAATGTCATTGCTCATGTCTGTCTGCATCACATCAATTCTCACTCAGACCCTAAACTGCATTCCATGTCTCCTGTTCACCTTGAGTCATCTTGTAAGTTCCTCTTTCTAATCTGAAAAATACCTTTAGTTTCCAGCTCCTTTAGAGAAAAGATGATTCCCTGAGCATGTCTCCAGGATATTTTGGAGACTTAGGGAGTGATCAGGATGGTGTTTAGTACCATAAATACTTCATGTATAATTGCATATGTCAAATAAAGAATATATTCTTCCTCAATAGAGAATGTTTTTAAAATAAAAAATGAATATGGACTGTCAGGAAGAACAGGGGGTAGTTATAAAATACAATAAAAAGTAGAAACAACCAAGTGAGAAAAGTACGGTRTGTCTTATCTTGTTAGCGATCCAGTGCTTGAGTTTCTCAAGTGCATAAATGCATTCATTAAATATTCTTATGCCTTGGACATAAGAACAATAAGAGCCCACCTCCTCCTCATCCAGGTAAACAACTTTCTTGTAGTACAGTGAAATTTAAGTGCAGGAATAAAATTCTCTGGGAGCTAAAGCAAGATGCTTTAGGAAGAGATAGTTCATTATCCCCAGAGATATCAAAGAAGTCTTGATATCTTTGATATCTCTGGGGATATCTGTGCTGGGTAGAAAAAGAAAGGAGTTTGGCAGGTGGAGAAAGTGGGAAATGTCATTTTAGCCTGAGGAAGCATCTTAAACCAGTAGAAGATTTTGAGTCTTGCTGTTGGGGTGATGATAGAATCGACTACCTGGTTCTTGTCTTGTGCACTTCTTTTATTCACCATAGACAGTGGGTACAGCATATGAATGGTGAGAGCCCTCAATCCTGTCCTCGGGAAGCCAGGAGAATTTGGTTGGTATAGGAGACAGTCATGTTAACATGATCACTACTTTTCACGTTCTCTCTGAACCACTGAAAATTGTTTGTACATTAACTTGAGCCTAATTATGCCTCATTGCTCCTTCTTTCTCCATCCACATATCTGTGACCTGTCATGTCAATCAAGTAAATCTGCCCATTCTCTATTATACTCTCTTTTTAAGTAATCCGTATTGYGCATGTTTTCCCATCTCTCATCTATATAAGATCACTTCTCCCTTCACCTCTCCCTAYTCCAAACACCATGGGTGCTCTAGCCATCTTGAAGTACTTAGTTTTGCATAACTACACCAGGCTTCCAAAGCCTGTGCCTTTTTCTACTGGAAAGAATGCTGTTTCTCTGTTTCGACAGTGTTTTCAACTTTCAAGGTCTGACTAATGTCCTCTCCCTTATGAATACTCTTTCTGTACAAGTTAGTACAGAAAGTTAGTACACCTTCTGTTTGCTTTATGAATGTGCTTTACTGATCTCTAATAAGAATATTTGTCTTGACATCATATAACTGTTTCTTCATCTCCCTTATTCCCAACCTTCTTCCCCAGCCTGAACTTCTCCAGGACACACATTTTAAACATCCAGCTAAGTGTGTAGCACTGTGCATACTTCTCAGTGCTTGTTGAATAATTTTATGCATATGTGACTGAATGAAAAAGTTGCTCATTGAAAAAGTATATTCCAAAGATCAGTTTGCTTCAGAATTCTTCCACCAGCAGTCCTGACATTCTGATTATTCATTACTCTGACATTGCATTATTTGATTCAACTCTGTATTGCCATCTGTTGCTCTACTTTTCATTTTTGGGGTTTTATCTAAGGGCAGCATGGAATAGCAAAAATAACACTGATCTAAGGATCTGGAAATCTAGATTCTCATTCTGACTTTTGCTGTATAACTCTTGGAAAGTTAACTTAACCCCTTTAGTTTTTTCCTCTTTTCTCAAAGCCTATTAAAATATTTGCCTTGACTGTCATACAAGTTTGTTGTTAATTATATCTCAAAGGACCAGATGAGGCAATCAATTTGAAAGTACCTCAAAAAGCATATATAAATCATCTGACAGATAAAAGTGGTTTTTAAAAATCTTTTTACCAATAATAACTCCCCAAATAAAACTCCTAAAAGAGGGAGACCATTCTGTAGGTTTTGTTGTTTTCTTGTTAAGTTCTTCATATTCATCATGTGATGCAGATTGGCATTAGCCACTGACCTTTTTTCATTCTGAGCTCTAAAACTAGACTTATAGATCTAGAGAGTGGCRGATCTTGTGCCTGAATTTGGAGGCTTCTGACTATATATTTACTCAGTTGTTACTTTTCTGATCCCCAGGCTTGTTTCCATCAGTATCACCAATGGACCAGTATTCTGTGGCCTGGTTGGGGCAGTAGCAAGACATGAATATACAGGTAGAATAGATTGGATTATTAGCTCTATGACTTAAGGGATGAAGATGAAAGAGGTGGTCCAAAAATTTTCCACTCTTTACTGTCTTTCTAACACAGTTATTGGCCCTAAAGTGAGCCTTGTGGCCAGAATGATAGCTGCTTATCCAGGCTTGGTATCCTGTGATGAGGTAACATATTTAAGGTCCATGCTTCCTGCTTACAACTTTAAGAAACTGCCAGAGAAAATAATGAAAAACATCTCCAACCCAGGGAGGATGTATGAATATCTTGGCCATAGAAGATGTATGTGAGTATTATTGGTGAGAGTTTATTCTCATCCCTTGCAGAATAGAGGCATGAGAATGGTAAATTTTCAGTTGTATGAAATTTAGTAATACTAGTACTTCCCTGTTGGAATAAGACACATAAAAGGAGGCTTTCTCATCTTGAGATTTTTAGCTTGTCTGTTTAGCTCTTAGCTACTTTTTTGGGGAATTTCTTTCTCTCCAACAGGAAGAAAATAGCAGTAAATCACTAATCTAGGTGTTCTGTGTGTGTGTGTGTGTGTGTGTGTGTGTGTGTGTGTGTGTG